CAGTATACTAACGCAATTCCCAAATCTCCAGTGCCGCATGCAAACGGCAGACGACAGCTCAACTGATTCTTCAATTCATCTTGATCACACAAACTCTCAAGTTCTTCAATTCTCTTAACTAGAGGTGTGCAAATTAAACTTCGGATAATTTTTTATTAACCAATCGAACCGACAAAGTTCGGTTAACCCTTTTTTAACTGAACTTTTTCGGTTTGGTTGATGGTTAATGATTTTTATACAGTTCGGTTAACGGTTAATTTGGTTTGAAAGTGTCGGTTAACTAAACTTTTTAATATATATATATATATATATATATATATATATATATATATATATATATATATATATATATATAATGTATTAAATATTTAAATGTAATATGTTTATAGTGGTGTTACGGTATTGTTTTTTTTATATTTTGTTATGAATTTATTATTATATATATTATTTTAGGTGTTATTTTTAGGATTTTAAATTTTAGCTTAAAAAATTCGTTTAATCGAAAAAAATTTCAGTTCGGTTAATTTGGTAACACAAACTTCGGTTCGGTTAAAGGTTTAAAAAATTCGGTTAAAACGGTTCAGTTAACTGAACGGTTAATGGATTGAACATCCCTACTCTTAACAAGTAATTAAAATTACATTTTTTCACAATTTTTGTTTATTACTTTATTGTTTTATTGACATGACTTAATAATCCTGATTTCAGAATAATATATTAAAGAATTTGTTTCTTGATTAATTATTTATTCATAGAGTTTTTAAATAAATTCTTTTTTTTTTTCCTTAGAATTTTATAATTATGTCTTCTTGAAATTTTAGATGTATTTTTTATACAATATTTATATTTTGATAGAACTTTTAGAACAACTATTATTTATATATAGAAATTATTTGAAAAAAGGGCCTCAAATTAAAATTTTGCACAGGGTCCTTATAGTAGAATTAAAATAATACTTTAGTATTGCTATAATAAAATTATTGTGTGTGGAGAATGAAACTAAAAAACAAAGCACATTATTGTCAAATGAAACAGTAGTATAATTAAAATGGTACTTTAGTATTGATATAATGGAACTAGTGTGCGTGAATAATGAGACTAAAATCCAGAGTCATACAATAACATATATTATCAAAGGAACCTGAAGCATAATTAAAATAATACTTGAACATTACTATAATAAAATTAGTATTTGTGGAAAATGATGAAACAAAAAAATAGAGCTCGTGTAATAATGTATTTTGTCAAATGAAATTGTTGTATAATTAAAATGATACTTTAATATTTGCTATAATAAAACTAGTGTGAGTGAAAATGAAACTAAAAACATAACAATATTGTCAAATAAAACTAAAGTATAATTCAAATGATACATACCTCATGGTCCATTACATGTTGCTACATATATAGACCATGGTCCATAGTAAAATTTGTCGATTGGTCATCGCTCTCCAAATGATTATTTGCATAAACTGTTATTATAACAATATACTATTTCAATCACAAAAGTTTGAATGGAAAGAATAAGAATCTACTAGAGGCAATGTCTTTGAAATGATCCAACCATCCATATTTTATCACCACCACTCTAGCCTAACTACACTCCTAAATGGAGCGTAAAAAATTGATTATAGAGTTTTATAGGAGGTAAAAATAAAATTGAGCATCTCCATCAAAGTTAGTCAAATTGTAAAATTGAGCATCTCCATTAAAGTTAGTCAAATTGTAAGTTTGATAACTATAATATTACAAGTTCAACGATCAAAGTATCTATGAAGTTCCTGTACTATAATATTTTGTTCAATTTAGTCCTTGTACCTTTATTCTGTTGAATTTAAAGTCCATCTACTTTAAAAAGTGATGAAACTAACGACAATTGTCCAAATCTCATTAGGAACATGGTTGTAATTATTTATTTTGGACATACTAATTTAATATATTGGTGGTAAAAATAATTAATTTTAAATATTTATAAAATAATATGTGAGTAGAAATATAAATATCGTCAGCGCCACGTAACCCGAGTTAGCGATAATATTAACACAATAGTTAACTATTACCCTTAATTGTACCACTTTTTAAAGTACATGGACTCAATTGAACAAAAAAAAAGGTAAGGACTAAATTGAACAAAACGGTATAGTACAGGGATCTCGTATGTACTTTGACACAAGTTCGACTCTCGGTGGGAGTAGTCTATTATTTTTCTTAGTTTGAGTCGGTTAGCTATGAGCAACTTGGACAACTTAATTTAGTTTACCTCTTTGTAATCTTTTGTCAATTAGAGTCACAAGACAAGATCACTATTACATAGTGACTACGGGTTTCTTTCGTCACCTCAAAAAAGAAAAAGTAAAAAAGGATAACATTATTTTCTGGCAAATGCCATATTTTAATTTTTGTGTTGGCAGTTTGGAAATTGATGGGACAAAATCTGTTACGAAACTATTCGGGTCGGGTTAATTAAAAGAAAAAAAAAAAAAAAAAATCTAAACACAGCCACTCTATCGATTCAAGTCTAGGGTTTAGAATGGCTCTGTTTTGCTCACCCTGTACATCCCCCATTTGCTCATCCCAAGTCCGTAAACCATTGGCAATCGGATCATTATTTGTGTCAAAATCCCTAAACCAATATACATCCAACCCCAAATTTTCAAGAAATTCATTTTTCAGCCCACCAGTTACCAAATCATCTTTACAAAATCCCCACCTTTGCTTGAGCTCTACCTCCTCATTGGACCCAGAAGATAATGCTTCATCAAACACAATAATCTTCATAAAAGGTATATCCTTTATGCCTTTTTAAGTTGTAATCACTTGTTCTAATTGTTGTCGTGGTGCTGCATTAGTTCTAGATAATTTTTATTAAGTGTTCTAATTGTATTTTTGGTTCTCCAGTTATAACCGGAGTACAGACTTAGTCCCTGAGTTATGAGTTATTATATTCGTGACTATTTTAACTCCTAAGTTATGCATGGAGTTGCGATTTTAGTCTTTGAAAGACTAAATCAACCACTTTATTAAGTGACAAATTGGTGGTAGAAATAGTCTCCAAGGGACTAAAGTTGCCACTATGTGCATAACTTAGCGATTAAAGATTGTCAAGCATATAACTCAGGGACTAAGTTTGTACCAATGTATAACTGAAGGACCAAAAATGCAATTTTTCTTGTGTTAATTGCTTAAAGAATTAGAGATATTGAAATGTATAGTGATTGGGATATAGCTCTGTTAAATAACTTAATTGAAGTCCTATTCTTTTTGTTTGACTGTGGGTGTGATATTTATTCCATCTATATATGCATAGTTGCATATAATTTCACCCAATGCCCTGTGTATATTAGCATCTATGGTAAATGAATGTACAATAATGCAAAAAATTCTTTCTTCTTTAAGGCTAAGCTGAGATAATGGTCATTCTGTAGTGCTGCATTATGATTTGGTCTGTGTTTTGTTTATAAATTTTAGAAAATGGTCCATTCTCTTTGTTTAAACTATTATAATTCACTTCTTTGGGTGGTTATTTAACTTCTTGTCAACCAATACATGATTTAGCCAATATATTATAAGATTCCCTTGCAATCCGTGGGAAGTATATACCTTTTAGGCAAAATCTCCTATGAGAACTGTGCGATGGGCTGGATTTTTATAAGTATTACTCCCTCCGTCCTATTTTGTGTCGGGTTTAGTTAACAATGCTTAACTGGAGTTATTTACAATTTAATTTTTCATAATATTAAGTTTAAAATTAGTATGTAAAATTTATATATGAGAAATTTTCAATTTTAGTCCACTAACTATTGGTGTTGTGTTAATTGCAATACTTGACTATCAAAAATGTTAATTTAGTACCTTGGCTATGCAATTTCTATCAATTTTGGTCACGTCGGCCAAATTACCGACGAATTGTGATCGGAAAATCTTAAGTCAACATTTGAACTGAATTGAAAGGGGTAAAATTGTCTTTTCCGGCCTCCTTCTAATTTGGGAAAGTGAAGTGTTGTCCAGCCTATATCTCCGGTGTCCTTCTCCGGATTCCTTCTCCAATGTCACAGCCTCTGCCTCTGCCTACGAACTCACCAACCATTCTCTGTGCCCCTAAGAAGAGCACTCCACCAAAACCAATAAGTTGATGAAAATTTGAAATTAAACCAAAAAAACTGCAAAACAAAAGAATAAAGATTAAATTGAGGAAAGAAGCACCCACCTCTTTTTCTTCTTCAGAGAACAAGAGCAACCCAGCTCAAAGTTGTTGAAAATTTGAAATTAAACCCAGAAAACTGCAAAGCAAAAGAATAAAGATTAAATTGAGTAAAGAAGCACCCACCACTCGTCCTTTGCGCATTTTATATACTTGCAAATCGCAGTAGAGAGATGAGTGCTTTGAATTTGCAGCCGCTTGATCTGTCCAAACTCCAAACTTATACGGTGACTTCAGTTTTTTATGTTATCGGTCAATCAATGGCCTATGGCTTCACTGCTTCAGTGTCAGATTAAAGTACACCGCAAATTCCTTTCATTTTGGCCGGAGGCGGAAGCTGTGACGTTGGAGAAGGAATCCGGAGACGGAGGCCGGAGAAGGATGCCGGAGAAAAGACGATTTTACCCCTTTCAATTCAGTTCAAATGTTGACTTAAGATTTTCCGGTCACAATTCGACGGTAATTTGGCCGGCGTGATCAAAATTGATAGAAATTGCATAGTCAAGGTATTAAATTAACATTTTTGATAGTTAAGTGTTGCAATTAACACAACACCAATAGTCAGTGGACCAAAATTGAAATTTTCTCTTTATATATTTAGAAACTACATTAAAAGTATTATTAAACACAAAAAATTAAATTTAAAAGTTATAAGTAAATACTAATGAAAAGAAGAAAGTGTTGGTTTGACCAATGAATAGTAAGTAAGACAGATAAAATAGGACATAGTGAGTACAATTCTTTTTATTAGTAACTCTTAATTCCTAATATTACATTTTAATTTAAAAGTATTACATTTTCCATCAAAAGTATCACATTTTTGCTCATAAGTATTATACTTTCTCTAATAAGTAACAATAAATTAATATATCCCTAATTAGTACTATATATATTTTTTCATAAGTAACTGTTCAACTCCTGAATATTACATTTTTTATTTAAAAGTAATACATTTTTCTTCAAAAGTATTAAGTTTTCCCTTATAAATAACAAACAATTTATTTCTGATTAATATTACATTTTTCTGCATAAGTATTATATTTTCATATTGAACCGATCTGTCTCACGGATAAGGATTCGTGAAACGGTCTCACAGGAGTCTCACCCTACCTTTTAAAGTTCATTCTGTGCAAAGCATCTTCTCTAATGTTATAAGGTATGCTTGTATGACCCCTTCAATGAGCTTGGTGCAGAATGACTTATACAAGATGCATGATGATCACAAATGGTCCCTATAATTACATAAGGGGATTCTCTTGGCTCCATTTAGGACACAGAGAATTGAATTGCAATTTGAATATCCAATTCCCGTGCTACAAGTCTATTCATTATTTCTAAGGAATACACACTACCTGTATACCCTTTTTTTTTTAACCTTCACAGCATTGGAGGAATAGTGATTCACTCGAATTAACTTGTTTAATTATTGCCGATTCCCTTCCGCTATTCCTTTCCCATGGTTTGTTCCATTCCCACATATTGTGATTCTAGCATACTAAATGGTGCCCATTACTACCTAGTTTAGACTGGGTAAGATGTACAGGACAGATTTCTGTGCAAGAAGATTCAGTATAGACCGTATTTGTTTATTAATGATTAATATTTCATGTTCTTCCACTGGATGACACTAGACTTTTGGACTATTCTACTTTATGGGGCTAGGAATTGCTTTAGACATATTGGTGAAATATTAAAGCTTGATTGATGATGGGAGTTATAACCTTGTAGACATCATTTGCTGAACGTGAAAGCTTATAAACACAGGACTGCCAAAATCTACATCTGAGGAAAGCTTGAAGGTTGCATTTTCCAAATTCGGGGATGTACTCCGAGGTGAGTTCTCCCCTCTCAATTCATTTTCCCAACTAGCTTATTTGTGGATTATTATCACAACTAGAATGTTTATTCTGTTCTATGTTATGTTGCAGTTAAAATTTTAATTGATAAGAAGACCAAACAACCTTTGTCTTTTGCTAATGTCTGGTTTTCTAATGAGGAGTCTGCTGTATCAGCTGCAGATGAGATGGATGGGAAGGTAGCACTATTATTATTATTATTATTATAATGTTGCTCGTTTTTCTTAGATTGCTGCTAATATGGATATTGACTTATAAACCTGTTCCGTCTTAAGTTTTTCAATGGCAGGTTTATACGTGTGAACGTTGCAAAGCCAGGATCATGCAAAAGTCGTGCTAAGACACCACCTTACAAGTTCTAGTCAAACAAGAATCCTCCTCGATCTCTATTGTAATCTTTGGGATCTGTGGAGTTTCGGCATTTGTAGATCATGGGTATAGCGAACCTGTAACTTTCAGACTAGTAAGCGCGATATCTTGTATGAAGACTTACTGGTTTGAAAAGATTTTTCCTTATGCCAAATGGCAAGCTTTTAGAAGAACTGTGTTAGTTTCTTCATGGTGAAAGATTAGTGGCATTCTGTATGTTGAAATTATGGATGATTTGATCCTTTATTTAATGGTCTTGTGGGATGGAAGTTTCACCTTCAATGTGTTATGCTAAACTGAAATGCTATGATGCTTTAACATACAATAGTAGTTGTCCAACACTTACATGATTTTCTAAATATATGCACTAAGCATACACTTCATCACTTGAGGAGGCAAAATTATTGTGTGGATCATGATCCATACAGTGCTGTGTGGATCATAACAAAAAGTACATTTTTAATTAATATATTAAATGTACATTATCTTTATACTGAATGCACATTATACAATATAATGTACACTCAGTAGACAAATAATGTACATCTTTAAAATATTAAAAGTACATTATTTTTGTACTGAATGTACATTATTTTACACTAAAATATGGTCTACAGCTCGTGTCTTCTAAAAGCAGTCAAAAAGGCATATTTACTATTTTATTTTATTTTTTGGAATAAAACCATAGCATTAAATCAAGTCCGAAGACATTACAAATGATGGGAGGAGGGTTGGAAAATCACTCTAAACAACTAGACAATGAAACAGAATGCTTAGCTAATAAATGTGTAACCTGATTCACTGATCATTTAGCAAAAGTGATAAACACGTGACAGAATTCACTCAAAATATCGTACACCACCTGTAAGGAGTCAATTTCCACATGAACATTGTCCATATTTCTCTCCTTGAGCCAGCTTAGTGCTTCCTCCCTAATAGGCAATAGCCACTGCACATTTACTATAAACATGGCAAGATGCTTCTTCTATGAATATTATGAGAAAGGAAAGAAAATGCCATCTTTTGGCATCAAGTTCATGCTAAAATAAGTAATCCATATCTCTATGAGACCAAAAAAATGATAGTTGAGAATCCTAGAAGTCTTCATCCAGCTTGAACTCAAAATTCTTAGAGGTGTCTCGCAAGTTTGACATAACCGAAGCTTTCTGATAGTCACCCACCCGCCTCTCGAAGAAGTTGGCTTTGCCCCTGTTCAAAATAGGAAGGGATTTTAGGGTATAACCGTAATGCTAGAAACAACTTTGAGACATCTTGTTAATCAGAACCAAATGAGATTTCAGTGCCTGCCATCTTATATCATTTGGCAGAATGTCAAAGGGAAGAATACAAGTTCAGATGACTTCTGGTGCAAGTAGCATACAAGTTTTTAGGTAACTACAAACTAACCTATCTATAATATCTGGCTCAACATGTTATGCCAACATCCTTGATTGGGATGAGACTCGAACCTGTGACCTTCCGTTTGGAAAGGTAACAGTGATGCCATCAAACCACAAGGTATTTGGCCTGAAACTCAAATTTTTGGTGACTGGTTTTTAATCATGATTTCTATGCTCTAGCTTCAAGGAGAAAAAAGGACTGAGCCAATCAAATATCACTAATTATCTTTCAAATGAATAGCATCTCCATGCTCAAAACAACTATCAAACAGTGAGAAGTAAAAACCATACTATGGTCTGAACAAAAAATTGTTATATTGCAATTGTATATTATATCAAAATAACTCCAAAGATATGAGAAATGAAGGAACGACCAATTTCTTTTGCATCATTACTTACTGTAAGGAAATAAATTCCATCCAGTCGAAGGGGTTTTCTACATTGTAATTCTTCTGGTACCCTAAGGCAACCTGAGAAATTAAATCGTTACACTTTGCTTAATACAGAAAATAGAAAAGAGAGGAAGCCAGCAAGTTTAGTACCAGGAGGTGGTCAGCAACAAATTTGATATACTGGCTCATTAGTTCAGAATTCATGCCAATCAAGGCACATGGGAGAGCATCACATACAAAATTTGTCTCGATTTCAACAGCTTCATTCACAATTTGATGTACTTTTTGCCATGGCAATTTCTTTTGCACAAAACTGCACAAGTCAATGAGATGAGTACTAGGACAAGCTGTCTTAGACTTCCTCTGCCAAATTTTCCTAATTCAATCAATTAAATTGGGAAGGAGGCACAAACACAGAAGAAAATGAAAGGAAGACGAGGTTTTCATATTACTGTTAGCACAAAGTAATTTGAAACTCTAACCAGCTTGGTTGGTGTGAGTGGCCATGCACTCCCATCCCTTAAGAGAGGTTGGGAGTTTGAAGCCCCTCTCGTATGGAAAAACCAATCTGGCCAGCACTTCGCCCTTTAATTGGGCCGGCCCAGTGCGAATGGGGATTAATCTGAGTATGGTACGGGCTTAAAGGTGCCTCCTACAATTAGGGCCTGCTCAGGACGCCTCATGGTCTGACCAAAAAAAAAAAGTAATCTGAAACTCTTTGAATGCTTGTAAATGCTGTTCTATACCTATATAGTAGACAGGCAAAGTCACAGTGTAGACCCTCATCTCTGGAAATAAGTTCATTTGAGAATGCCAAGCCTGGCATTAGGCACCTCTTTTTAAGCCAAAAAATGGCACAAAAGCTGGGAAGAGAAGACGTTATAGCATTTAATGTCAATCTTCAGAAAACAATACTTAAACATATGTCATATAATTTATTCCAGCAGATACGCTAGGTTTAACAGAAACATACCTTCCTGAGAAAAAAATTCCTTCCACACAAGCAAAGGCAACAAGCCTCTCTACAAATGAGCTGGAACTGCATGTTCAAGATAGCACTCTAAACATCCATTAGTAGAAAATAATATACATTCAATGCACATCACTCCAATACAGATGTACCCTAACCGTGACAGTTAATAATGCCAGCTTTATAGCGTCACTATTTTGAGTCATTGGAAAACCTGAAGTAGGCCAATAAGAATGGAATGCTAAAGCGTCATTTTAAAAACATTTTAGCCAAATATTTTGTACTTATTGTCATTAACGGCATTTGAATTATGAATGATACAGCATGATGGTAAGAAAACAAAGACTGAGAAAGGCAACTAATAAGGCAACAGGGTTGACATGATTTTACTAGTATTAGAAAATGACGTTGAGGAGAGTTCTAAGAAATCCTTAAGAAAGGACAAGTTAAAAGTCATGTTGCTCCGTATAAATCAAACAGTAGAGCATAATTTATTACCTTTCTATCCAATTCAAAGACCACTTGGCCTTTTCTGCAACGCAGGGAATGGTTTCAATTGCATTAAACAATTTGCTTTTCTGATTGGAATCCTTAATGTAGGTCTCCAGAAGTAAGCTGTACATCTCTACACATGGACGGACAAGTTCAGAATAATATATACTGAATAATATTTTCCAAGTATCACACAAGTAGTTACAAAGCCCGACCAGAATGTACATTCTCCATTGCAATTTGAAACCCATAAAATGCACGTGCCTGCGCAATGTAAGTAAAACAAATGTTACTAAGCAACAGCACTATATATTTACATTTTAAGCACATCACCTTTGCAATCACCTGGTTTGAATCTTTACTCAATAAATTCAGAGGTAGAAACTCAAGAACATTAGAGCAAGGAGATGAAACCAAACCAAAAGAAAACATTTATATTTCTCAAAATTAACACCGAAAGGACTAAATAGAAGTCCCGTTAACACCTAAAACGCATGAATGCTCATATTTCCATTAGAAATTTGAGGAAAATATCTCCAACTACTGAAATTGGCAGTTAATTAATTCATTAATCCAAAAAAAGTTCTTCTCAAAATATTAGTGCAAACCTATGGATTATGCATCAACTAATTTTGTGAATGATGTTCATTTTATCTTTGTGTATTTCCTGCCACTTACAAACAACATCCATCATAGGTTTCTGCTGATTATTTAAGTATTTATTACTTCTAGTTTAAACAATTTTTTTTTTTTTTTTAAATTTGTTATGGGTAATTTTAAGTAAGATTTGCACTCTATATATGTACCAGAAAATATTGAATTCCCACTGCAACAGCTTATAGAAACTCAAACTATAAACAACAACTACTTTGAAACACATTGAACATAATGTACTAAAAATTAAAAAATAGACAACAGTAAGTTTTTAAAATGTTAGTCTAAGTACTCCATCATACCCAACAGTAAAACATTTCTTCAGCATGTTTAGATTTTCCAGATTCTAAGTGCTATTAAAAACTACAGTATGTTGTTTGAAGAACTAGAGTAATGATCTAAAATCAAATGCTATTTTATTTTTATACATCATTGCAAAACAATTCAATAGAGATACCAAAGAGAAAGGCATCCATTCACCTCAGGAATTTGAACATCATTCAAGAACCTGGCTGCCAAATTTTCCAAAACGATTCCATCTGATGCAGCAAAAAAGGCTAGAACATGACTTATAAAGTGCTTTTCAGAATCAGACAGAGCTTCCCACTGCTGCACATCGGGAGATAGATCAACCTCCTCAGCTGAATCCCAAATTCAGTGGAAGGAAGAAAGATTATGCATCAGTATTAAGCCAAATCAAAGATGCAAAAGGAGACAAATAGGACTAACTGCAAAGTACACAACATTTTCTCATATAATATGGAGGATGCTTAAAAGATTATGCATCAGTATTAAGCCAAGTGAAAGATGCAAAAGGAGACAAATAGGACTAACTGCAAAGGGTATTATTCCAAAATGTGACATTAAACAGTTTGTATTGCAATTTAACATTAGAGTTGATGCAGTGAATGATCTTGTTTTGTTCACTCAACACATTCTGCACAGTTTGTATAGTTGATTGCTTCCTAAATTCAGATGGAAAAGGAGCTCTTCAAAACAGACCACCCACCAGTCAAAAGTGATGGGGTTAGAAGAAATTGTCCTGTTTATAGCACTAGTGCAAGTGTCAGTGCCCTCCATTAGCTCAAGTACACAACATTTTCTCATATAATATGGAGGATGCTTAAAAGATAAAAGGTGACTACAAGGTCCCCACATTGTTCAGATGGTGCAGTAAAGGATAAGGTGCACAATGTCACAGTGAAGGTGCTTAACCTTTAGAAATTCTCAAATGTTACTGCTTGTGAACCTAGGGGTTTAGAGACAAAGCTTATTTCCTCCAATTGCATGATGGTACTTTGAATTTTGAAACTTCCAAATGTCACTGCACTTCAAACAGGGATATGACCCCCAAAAGGGATAAACCAAAAGGGA